ACCGAACGCCGTTCGGGATTTTCGATATTTTGAACATTCGACACTTTGTGGTGTATCCAACCTGCGCGGTAATATCCCAAAAATGTCCGAAGTGGCTCGGATCCGTGAGAAACGAAACTAACGTGTAAAATAAAACTTTCCGCATATCATTTCGGTGTATAATTAGGTATTTTGCAGGAGAGACTGGCAAAAGATTATTAAGATGCACAATTTACAATTATTTTAATGTAAATATGTTTTTTTTTAAGTGAAACATCCCATTTTTGAATTTTGTCCTGAATTCGTTTTGAAATTCTTCAACTTTTTTTTTACTAAATATATCTAAACCTAAATCTTTTTCCAATATTTTACTTTTCCTAAACAATATTAGTTTTCACACTTGCAAAAAAAAACTATAGCGACATATATTTTATGTTTATGTTTATGATATTCGAAAATGATGTAAAAGATATATATATATATATATATATATATATATATATATATATATATATATATATATATATATATATATATATATATGATGACACTATATTCCGGGATATCATCCGTTCGCTCGTTGAACTCCGACTGGAATCCTGCAAATCTTGCATCCGACTGGAATCCTGCAGACGTTTCGCCAAAATCTCACTTGGCATCTTCAATGCTCGCGCTCCGAAAACACTTCGAACACGGAGCGCGAGCATTGAAGATGCCAAGTGAGATTTTGGCGAAACGTCTGCAGGATTCCAGTCGGATGCAAGATTTGCAGGATTCCAGTCGGAGTTCAACGAGCGAACGGATGATATCCCGGAATATAGTGTCATCACATTTTTCCATCCGTGAATCAATACGTGAGAATATATATATATATATATATATATATATATATATATATATATATATATATATATATATATATATATATATATATATATATATATATATATATATATATATTCACGTATTGATTCACGGATGGAAAAATGTGATGACACTGTATTCCGGGATATCATCCATTCGCTTGTTGAACTCCGACTGGAATCCTGCAGACGTTTCGCCAAAATCTCACTTGGCATCTTCAACGCTCGCGCTCCCAGTGTTCGAAGTGTTTTCGGAGCGCGGGCATTGAAGATGCCAAGTGAGATTTTGGCGAAACGTCTGCAGGATTCCAGTCGGATGCAGGATTCCAGTCGGAGTTCAACAAGCGTGCAGGATTCCAGTCGGAGTTCAACAAGCGAACGGATGATATCCCGGAATATACATGGTCTGGACGATACCTTCATTTTCACTCCCAACACCCAATATCACAAAAAAGACTGTTATTATCGGGTTGGCTGACAGAGCTATAAATCTATCTGATCCAGAGTACAGAAAAGAAGCTATATATAAGGCTAAGTACACACTAAAACTAAACAATTACCCAAGTGTCTTAATTAACTCTACTTTTAAAAGAAGGATACATAAATTCTACAACAAGATTTCTGTTAAGGAAAACACACAACCATCAAAACGAGAATATTGTTCGTTGCCATACATACCAAATTTATCGGAAAAAATCTCGAATGTGTTTCAGGGAAGCTCTGTAACAATCTGCCACAAGGGTCAAAATTTGTTAAATAGGAATTTCAGTAAACTAAAAACACCAATACCCAAAGATAAAAAAAGTCACATTGTATATCAAATACCACGCAACGACTGTGACTAAGTGTACATTGGACAGACTAGCCAACTGTTGAAGAACCGCATCAATAGTCATAAGTACGACAAAAAAGAAACAAAACAGCCATCAGCAGCCATATAACGGAGAAAACACATACTTTTAACTTCGATGACACAAAAATACTTGTTACCGAACCAAACACACAAAAAAGGGAAATAATTGAGATGATACATATTCAAAGGAATAAAAACGCCATAAACGCGAAAACCGACATAAAACACCTTAGTGAAATCTATTTCGAATTGTTAAAGTAGACCATTTTAATGCTCAGATGCTCCACCGCGTATCAGTAGGTCTTAAACTTAACACAAAAGTACACTCTAAATAAATAAATAAGAGGGAAAAAAAAGACATCAGATACAATGAATGTTTATTTTCCACTTCTATTTTTGATTCGTACGCCAATGCAAGAACGTTATTGTTTTTGGCAATGATGTATGTTGTGGTACTTTTTCACAAACAGCGCTAATAATAGACATTTATAAAAAAAAAATAAATTTGTGAGTATGACTAATATATGTAATTTGTTTTTGTAATATTTGTAATGTCTACTGTTAGACGTTTTATTTTTTGATAGCGAACTAATTCTTTGTGTGATCTCGTTTTTTTTGTCCTTTGTTTTGCAGTTTTTGAGAAAGACCTGGGTTGTCGGTCGAAACGTCAATGACAATTACAGTGTTTTAAAATTATTTGTGAGTTTTGTTCACTGTGGACCAAACCCTAAGAATCAACCTATAAAAAATATACAAGGATCAAGGATATGCCATCGCAAATCGTACCGACTATATATATATATATATATATATATATATATATATATATATATATATATATATATATATATATATATATATATATATATTCTCACGTATTGATTCACGGATGGAAAAATGTGATGACACTATATTCCGGGATATCATCCGTTCGCTCGTTGAACTCCGACTGGAATCCTGCATCCGACTGGAATCCTGCAAATCTTGCATCCGACTGGAATCCTGCAGACGTTTCGCCAAAATTTCACTTGGCATCTTCAATGCTCGCGCTCCGAAAACACTTCGAGTGTTCGAAGTGTTTTCGGAGCGCGAGCATTGAAGATGCCAAGTGAAATTTTGGCGAAACGTCTGCAGGATTCCAGTCGGATGCAAGATTTGCAGGATTCCAGTCGGATGCAGGATTCCAGTCGGAGTTCAACGAGCGAACGGATGATATCCCGGAATATAGTGTCATCATATATATATATATATATATATATATATATATATATATATATATATATATATATATATATATATATATATATATATATATATATATATATATAATAATAATAATAATTTAAGTCTTAGAGAATTTTTATGGGCAGAAGTGAAAGGATTTGTCACAACACTATACTTTAAATGAAACACCTTAAAGCTACTGTTTCAAGCTATTAAGGTAGTGAAGCCAGAGAATATCGAAAAGCAGTCCAGCAGATCATTAAAGAAGAGATTTTCTCATCTTGACTACTTGAATGATGAACCTACATAGCTAACGCTTTATTCTTCCCAAACATGCAACTGACAAACTGATAAGTTGGCGAGTGATGCCAAAGAAAAACAAGCATGTGTTATTACTAGTTGAACCTATCTCCAGCAGGTGTTGGTTCCACCCCTTCGATATTCGAAAGTTCTATGACAAATTTTTTACTTACTTTCGCATGTCCGTACGGTCGTTGGATGAACTTCTGGGGACATTCGAGAACCCCACTCACTTGACGAATCCTATACAGATTAAAGAAAGGCAGACTGCGACACTGAGATAAGTGAAAATCTTTGTTGATGATATAATACTAAGAAGAAAGAAAGTATTATCCGTAAAATTTTGAAAAACTTCCAGAGGTGACTATGGACCTCCGAGTTCGATGCTTTTTCAAATAAGATTCATGAGAAAGCTATTATCCAGAATCACAGTGATAAAGGTAAAAAATTAACCTCGCCACAACTAAAACCATCAAAGTCTTCTAATTTACCAACCGCTGCGGCAAATCTGTCATCGAACCAACATTGAGACTGAAAAGTCAGTACCTGCAAAAGGTTCCAACTTCGTACTTACCCGATATATTACCGAAAACACGAAATCATTTTATATGTCGAGTCTATCCTAAACAAAGTGCCCTCTCAAATAGCTAATAAAAGTCGAGTTGAAACCGCAAAAATCCTTAATAACTCCAAATCTCATAAATCTTATATTGCAAAGCCTAAACAAATAACATTAAAATCTCAAAAATCTGATCCTGGCATAGTCATTTTTAAAGCAAATAAAGAAAATGCTAAGGTAGTCATGAACACAACTGACAATGGAGAAAAAAATGGAGGTATTCTTAATAACGGATTCTATCGTCAACTTAAAAAAGATCCTGCGTCATCTATGAAACGCAACCTTAAATATGCTATTATAGCTGCTTCTTCAGTCGAATCCATGAAAAATTTGTCGCACCTCAGCACTCTAAATATCCTTGTTTCTACTGACTCCCTAAGGTTTCTTCCTAAGGTTTCTCCCTCCGACCTATTGTTAGCACAGTTGGTTCGGCAATCAATTATATACAAAACACTTAAGAAAAAAAAACTGATAGTAATTTCCTTTCACTCCATTGAACAATTAAAAGAATCAAATCTTCTCACTCGTTTATTAAAAACTCGTGAGTCAAATGCCGTTTACCGTACTTGTTGCATAATATACTATTCCTTGGAACGGTCAAATTTATGAAGAAATATCACACCTCATCCCAAATATATTTATGCAGTTAAAAACGCCAGGGGCGGCTGATTGCACCAAAGAAAAATACGACAATGGCAAGCTCTAAATGACCAAACAATCTTAACCGCTACCCAGTCATTCGAGACAATGTTCAGGTCACTCCGTCAAACAGTATATAATCAGGTACAGATTAGAATACAAATCAGTTTTAGTTAAGTTCTGAAGGAGCCAACAGGATCATTGAATATCAAGAGGTGGGGCTGAAGGCAATGGTTAAAGTGCTGGGAAGCTTTAAACTGTTGAAAAGGAAGGCTTATAAGTACACAGTTCCTCAAATTACGAAGATATTATCATTTTTCCCAGCTCCAGTAACTCGAGAATATCGATCTACAGTTTCTTGTGCAGTTAAAATCGGTTTATCGTATTTTATGAAATAGTGAACATTTAAAATAACAACTCTTTCACCCACTGATAGTGGTTGGTTGGAATGTCGCCATTTTATTGCTGATCCCATAATACTGTAAAGGCCACTGTTAACTTAAATTAAAAAACAAGAGCTTACTTGATTCCCCTTCGTCGTCAATGTAATAGCCAGTTCCATTGAAAACGAGGTCCTTCACTGACTTGTGGCTCTGGTTGAATATTATAGACTGCGCGGTAGACCCTTGAAAAATGTGATCAGCATCCCTCGACGCGAACGTAGTATTTGCGGGGGATACCAGGTACAATGTAGAGCTTTCCATTTTCCTATCGTCGAAGATACTTACTAACGTTCGTTGTACTGATTTTCGCTGAACTGGCAGCTGTAAAAAAGGATGTATAAAAAAAATAAAGATCACCGAAGACCGATGATAAAATGATAAAGAATAAGCATAATTTATTTCACAGCATAAGTTACAAAATACAGTATTTATTTGCCGTAGCCCAAGCGGGTTTGCTAGATTTGGGTGGTACGAAAAATTAGCGCTAGGCAGCAGCAGCTGCTTGTTTATTACTAACTTCGAGCAGAAACTAAGTATATTCCAAGTGGTTGCAGATTAGACACTAACAGTGGCACCCACGACAACGACTGTTACACGGCGATAAGGAAGGCAAGGGCAAACCGCTTCATTATAATCCCAAGAAAATCACATGATAGAGTCTCAGAATAAGCAGCCTTTCAAATTGAAACTTGGAGTGTGCGTACCTCGTTTGAACTTAAGGAAACTTAAAGGTACTATTAAGGAGATGAACAGGCATAATATCTACCTACCCGGAATTTATGAAAACAGGCGGCAGGCAAGGTAATAGAATTTATGCCATATTCAGACCGAATGAGACTTCCGGCAAAGCCAATAAATATAAATATACCGTCAAACGGGGCTATTTTGGCACGTTTTTGGGATTTCAATATAACGTCGTTATTTATCAACCTAACGTTGTAAAATAAATTAGATTATAACAAATCTGGCCTGCTGAATCGATTGCTGTGCTCTAAATTGATCTAAAAATAATAAAAAAATATAAAATCTAAAAATGAGCATTTCAAAGTTACCCTGCGTTCTTGGCTACTTTGACACAAATCTGAATTTCAATTTAAGCGTCGTAGCATCAGAGAAGCGCCGGTAATGGACACAGAATTAAAAATCATTCATTTCATATTTTTTGTTTTTTTTTTGTTTTGGTCTAGAAAAATAGTTTTTTCTACTGAAAAACTTATATTTAAGGCACTGGTCATTATACAAATAAAACCTTTTAATTACTTTACAATTTTAAAATTAAACAAGAAACTCAAGAAAACGTCCTAATCTACGTTTTACATACCTATAAAAATAAAACAAAGATAATACGTCAAAAACAGTAGCAGATTTTATATATATACATAGGAATTAAAGGAAAACATTTCTTAACTTAGAAACGAACTAATTTTCTCATAAACAAAAAAATTAATAAATTTAATTTTCGATCTCAGTTTCGGGCTTAAAGGTTCTATCGTCATCGCTATTATCGGTATACAGTTCCTCTGGATCGACATCTTAATGAAATGAAATGGATCAGTGCTTTCTGAATTACAGTCCGCAAAGCATGCGACATATGGCACATTTTGAATTTAAATCGCTCTTCTCAAACTAGCTTTTGTTATACTAATAAGAGTACGCAGTCTAGGTTTCTTCGCTTTGCCTATGACCTTTTTTGATGGTATTTCTGATGGCCCTGGCTGGCTGTTGGAGAAATAAGGCAATTCTTCGTCGCTGTTATCTGGGATTGTATGGGGTTGACATTCTATTTCGTTATTATAGTCATGTGTGTTTCAAATTCAATCTTCTTTCCTCTTTTTCTTTTTTTTGGTCTTCTCTTTTCCTCTTCCATTTCCCCTGATTTCTTTGAAAAACTTTATCAATGATCTGTTAAGAATAAAGCTACAAAATCATGAATACTTGGATCTGCTTACCAGCACATAGTACCGAATCAAATAGATATATACTGGTTAATCGTCTCTTTAGTACGTCCATACTGAAAGTAACAGCTTACCCGGGAAGATACTGAAAAGCTAACAAACAAAGAAGTGAGAGTAAAAGTCCAATCAGAGCTCAATAAACAATTGAAAAATACAACACGACCTAAAAAGAGTACTTGACGAGACCATGGACAAGCATTAAAACCACAACCAAACTAACCAAAACCACAATGACAACAAAATAAGCTTGGCTACAAAAGGGCAAAGAAGCAAGTGGATGATAAACGAGATTCTACATATGATGGACAAGAACCGAATAAACACCAAAGATTAAATAAAGGTAACAAGTCAAAGAAATGCAATCAATATCGCCTAATCAGCCTTTCAAGCCACATGCTTTGGTTTTAGAGCTGGGCTGGGAATAAGATAAGCCATCCTCGGCCTGCAAGCTTTGATTCAAAATTACCGGGATGTTTACAGAGACGTGTTTTTATGCTTCATGTATTACGAAAATGCATTTGATAGTGTTCCACATCAAAGGCAGATTGATAATTGAAATTGTATAATGTTTTACCAGGTACCGTGAAAAAAATGAGCATTAGAAAATTTAAACATACTATTAAAGAATTCCTGCAACGTCATTGTTTTTACTCTCTGCGAGCATACATTGACACTGTCACTGGTATCGATGCGCTATAAAACTGTATAGTACTGTCTAATTTTATTTGTATTAGATGTGTGTTTTTATGTTATTTATTAATTTGATTTTATTGCACTGAATATCACACTTGAATATCACTTGCTACAATTGTACGTCCCTTTTGTACGAAACGTAGTCAATAAATGAATCTATCTATACTAAGAAGAAAAGCATTGTTTTAAGGACTGTTTGTTTTTGTTAAGCAATTTGCTGCGATTGTTTTGTTTTCAATAAAAATTGTTGAATTAAATGATTTAATAGTTTAGATTTAATATATATCGTATAACGATGTAGGCAAGCTTATACAATATCAAAAATCAATTTTTTTAAGACCTGTATACCTATTACATAAGGGTTCTATAATATTCCATATAACTAGTAGTGACGGCATTATAAAACAGTTACTCAAGCGTGTCTTATTAAAGCTGTTTAATGCTGTATAACAATTGTTTTATAGCAATGGATTGTGTTGCATTATAAACCATTTATCTTTGGATACTATAAAACCTTCCTCTTTATAAATGCCGTATAAGATAAAACAGTATATATCGAAATAAATGCGTTCCAAGATCTCCGTTATAACACCGTCAAGTGAACGTTACCCAACATATTGGCACTAAGACTTAAATTTGTTTAATGGCAAATTCAGTTTCAATAACATCTATTATAATTAATTCTCAGTGCAAAATACTTGATAAACGTAGTGCCAATTTGAAAAGAGCTTGTACGAAAAAATATCAGAAAAGTCTTGCAAGTCATCCAGAGATTTTACATTCTACTTTTAATAGAAGTGTTCCTGATATCACAGAGTTTCAGAACATAATTCCTTCAATCACACCAGATAAACCGGATAATAATAGTATTGGTATGGATGTAAAAACTCTGGAATCTGATGAAAATTCGGCTTCTAGTGATAACTAAGAAGAAAATGTAAAATCTATTGTACCACCGGAAAACCTCCATTGAAATTATTCTTTCGAAATTTTGTTGACGGAGCACGCAAACCTGATCATACTATTGCAGCAATATTAAGAAACCCAAAACAAAAAACTACTTTGGAAAACCAAGGAGTATATAGTGTGGCTTGCGGATCGTGCAGCTTGACGTATGGGGGACAGAGCAATAGGAGGATTTCAGCCAGGCTCGAGGAACATCGATTAGCCATAAGAAATACATAAACAACATCGGCTTTATTCCAGCACCAACACCAGACAAGCGATAAAATTGATTTGTAAACCGCACTATTACCACCTCCGGCGCAGGTTATAAATACCGCACGCATTGCAGAAAACTCCCAGTGTTCGAAGTGTTTTCGGAGAGCGAGCATTGAAGATGCCAAGTGAGATCTTGGCAAAACGCCTGCAGGATTCCAGTTGGATGCAGGATTGCAGTCGGAGTTTTATGAAAAGCTAAGACAAAGGAAGGTTATTCAGCTATGTAAATTGAATTTTCTCATTGCTGCAACCAGAATTTGCTGCCAACGTTTACAAGGTTGTGTTACCACACACGCATCAGGAAGACGCAAGCTATCCTGGACAAAGCTAGCAACTCCCTACTGCGACCAGATTAGGCGGACCCGGTACCCGGACTGAGCGACAACTTTTCAGACTCCACCTGAAACTAAGCAAGGAGATCCATCAGTTGCTGTGGGACCGCATTATGACGCATTGAAAAAGACAAAGATATCACGTCAAAAAAGCTGTGGAAGAAATTAGAAATCCTTCAGTCAAATTCCAAGAAACCTAGACAAGTGCCAAGCACAAACCAAAGCCTTACAGTTTAAACTATTTCAACATACCATCTTTCCATCATCCAGAGATCCAGAGAATACCCGTCAAAGAGATCGTTTCCAATGTCGAAGCAAGCCTTTCCACCATAGACGAACAAGATGCGGAGTTAATAAGGCAAGATGTCGCCAGCGTTTTAAGACACTCAATACCACCTCAACCAAACTTAAACTTAAGCAGAGAAGAAATTCAAGCCTTGAAGAATCTAAGCAAAAACAAGAATATCATAATAATGACAAACGAAATGACACTGTCGTCATGAATACATCGGATTATGGTGCAAAAATTGAGGAAGTTTTGAGCGACCCAATGTACAAACCGATCACCAGAGATCCGACGACGTATTTGGAAAAAACAACCAAGTTCAAAATTCTCAAGCCATCAATAAACGAAGATATAAAAAAGAAACTTATACTAAGGGGTTTTAATTGTCTGTTGTATAGTTTGTAATGTTTTCATTGATTTTTAGTTCACTCCTGAAGAATTCAACAAATAAATTGACGAAATATTGAGTGTTAAAGAAAAAGGAGTTCGTTGGACTCCGAGTGGAATCCTGCAGACCTTTCGCCAAGATCTGTAATATCTGTAATACCACTTTCGATTTTTTAATGAAACTTGCCACACATGTACTATGTGGCATTACTTACTCTACCACAATTTTTTTTAAATGTACCAGTTGCGGGCGTACTGTATTACACATGCCTATTTTGGGAGACATAACAGTTATCCTTACAATCTCCAATTATTTTTAAAGAAATTTAATATCCTGATTTTTTTCATTCCGGTTTTCGATTAAAACAATAAAAACCTTTTCTCTGCATGGTCATAACAATACCGTTAATATGACAGCATGCTGATAATTATTGTCATTATTATTTC